AAACGCGTACTCACTGATCGAAAGTTATTTGTCAAATCGCCCACAATCTGTGCAGATGTCAGGATCATTTAGTAAAGAAATGTATATTAAGTGTGGTGTCCCACAAGGAACTGTCTTAGGTCCGCTGTTATTCAATATATATTTAAATGATATTTTCCAAATTAATTGTGTTGGCAAAATAACTAGTTTTGCAGATGATACTGCAATATTATATGAAGGCACTGACTGGTCTGATCTGAAAAATGTAATTGAAAATGATTTTATCAAAATTATTCGGTGGTTTAACAGTAGAAAATTAAGCATTAACTACTCTAAAACACATTTTTTACCATTTGGATCTTATGCTAGACATCTGCCAAATTACACAAATTTCTCCTTCAATATTAATGATCAAAAAATGCAAATTAATAGAGTGCCCAACATAAAATCCCTTGGAGTGGTCTTGTATCCTCACTTACGATGGGACATCCATGTCAATTATATTTTAAAGAAAGTTAGATTTGTATCCTACAAAATTAAATACCTTGGGAATATATTGACAGAAAAATATCTTCGAACATTATACCATGCACTGATTGAGCCTCATCTCACATATGGTATATTAGCATGGGGAGCTGCATGTTCCTCACATATCTATAATTTAGATGTTTTTCAAAAAAGTATTCTAAAAATGATATTTAAAAAACCGAAACTTTATCCCACTGAAAAATTATACGCAGATGTTCGAATGTATGATATAAGACAGCTTTATTTCTTACACAGTATCACTCACTACCATAAATTTGTAAACACCGACCAAAGAATTAAACATAATCATTATACCAGGTATAAAATTCGCATAATGCAGCGATCATATCTCTATTTAGCGCCTAAATTTTATGAAATTATACCTAAAGACTTAAAAGATTTACGTTTCGGAAATTGTTTCAAAAGAAATTTAAAAAAGTGGCTACACTCTATATCTAGGACTGAAATTCATAAACTCATAAATACGAACATCAACTAAATACATAATCTACTGTAACTAATTTTTGTCCTTTTTTGTCATTTGCATTCTACAGTTTCAACTTAAATTTATTGGTCCATGTACAGGCGATGCCTTCTATTGGGCCTGTTTTGATTTTATATTTATTTACTCATATTGTTTGTTATCTTTGTACATTGAGTGAATAAATATTATTATTATTATAGTTCATTAGGCAAAAACTGCTTCGGAACAAGTAACCGAAGAAACGGATCGAAATTGCTTCTGCAAAGCATGAGTATATGCAAAGTGAACACCAGTTAAATGAGGCTGATACACCTGAACCAGAAGATGACTTACCACTTAATGTGCTTTCAGATATCCTCAAAAATCAGAATTTTTTGAAATTGACTGATCATGAAAACCTTTACGATTTTTTGAACATCAATGGAAGTTTGAATGTTGAAGATCCAGATTCAGGCCACAAAATTGAAAATCCAGTTGAAATACAAAAACTTTCCGAAGATTCTGATGTCTATGAGGTTCTAGTACCAGCAGAAGCTATTCCAAATTATGGTAGAACTATTACCCTGACCAGGCAGCTCAAACGTTTTGTCAAAAACCAGAAAGTCTTTGGAGCTTCTTTCTAAATTAGAAATGTCATTTCAATTCAATACATATGTGCATACATATAGTCAACGCCAAACAAAGTGGCGTGCACGTCATCACGATAAAAATTCCACGACCTAATGCCTAGGTTTCTATCACAAGCAATTGCTCTATTGCAGTTTCATATTAATGTGATATATAAATTGTAAAATGGTCATTACTCTCTTATTATGGTTAATAGTCATATAAACATTGTTATTAAAATATCACATAAGTTGCTTTCTGATAAATTTAGACGCATTATGCGAAATAAAATGTTTTGCAAACGCTCCAATCACTTATCGACATGTAAACGCACTAAACCGATTTCGCAGCGTTGACATATTGTCACCTTGAAACTTATTTAAACTGGGAACTGACATTTGTATTAATTTTGACACTGAATCAATTTGTGGCATTTCAAATCTTTATAAATCCTTTGGCCCCGCATACTGTAAATCAACAACTGTTTGTTTCAAAACAAAATTATTCATTTTACGAGTAGATAAAGGCAATTTTGGTATATAAAGATGCCCAAACAGTTAAATAGTCGGTGTAAGGAACTCGTGGCCTCGTTAATGCACTACTTTGAGCAAGAAAGGGACAACAACGGGCCTTTGTTGCCTTTAAATGCTGTTCAAGAGGTAGGTTACTAATAATTATATGTAATGTATATTAATAATAGTGAAATTTTATTTCATTTTTTGTAGCGTGTTGCTGCTGCTTTAAAAATTAGTTTAAGGACAGTTAGTCGTATTTCCGAGGGTGTGAAAAGTGATGCAAATTTAGAATCGCCCAAGAAAAAGCGGAGTTATATTAAACGTGTAACCAACACAGCGACATTGGATACAAGTGCCATTCGAGAAGTGATCTATAATATGTATCACAAAAGTAAGATCTTATTATAATAACTTATCAGAAATTTGCATTAATTTGTTAACTAAATTATAATGTCATATTACACATGGTTTCAGAAGAACAAGTTACGATACAAACTTTATGGTCTCGATTAAAAGATAGGGCATTATTTGATGGTAGTGCCACGTCTTTAAGGCGGTTGCTTAGAGATCTTGGATTTAAGTGGCTTAAGGACAATCCGCGACGAGGGCTCATGGAACTACCAAGTATAGCTTTGAACAGGGTGGAATTTCTAGGTTGAGGCCTTATACCAGTTTGTCTTCCTCGATGAAACTTGGATATTTCAAAATGGGACCATAGGTCGCTCTTGGCAAAATGGAAACCAAAAAAGCGTGAAAGCTATTAAAACAGATGGTAAAAGGTATGTACTTTTACACAATTTGCACTATAAAATTTAAAACTAATATATTTTAGATACATTATATTACATGCTGGAAATGAAAATGGGTTTATTGAGGGTAGTGAAGCGATATTTTCTTCGAAAACAAAATTGAGCGATTACCATGGAGAGATGAACCAGGACAATTTTTTGAAATGGTTTCAACATCAGTTATTAGAAAAATTGGAGAGTCCATCTATGATTATACTGGATAACGCCCCTTATCACAGCATGATATTGAACAAAGTGCCCAACAATGCATGGACAAAAAAAAATATCCAAGACTGGTTGACAAATCAAAACATACCATTTTTAAACACAATGTTTAAAACAGAGCTATTGAGTATTGTTGCTCGGTACATAATGCTTCTTAATTATATATATTTTGGTCGACAGTTTATATTTCTTTTGTTTATTCCTATTCTTAAAAGAACTGCTTTTTTAGAAACAAACCACCTAAAATATACGTGATTGATGAATTGGCGGAACAACATGGGCACAAAGTTCTTCGTCTGCCTCCTTACCATTGTATATTTAACCCTATTGAGTTAATTTGGGGCATAGCAAAAGGTTACTATAACAGACATATTGGTAGAGATGGTAACAGTGAAAAAGACTGTTTGGATATGTGGAACGAGGCTGCTCTACAAACGGTTACCCCAGACATGTGGAAAAATAGTGTTCGACATACTGAGCAAGAAATTTTTAAATGGTATGAAAGAGAACGAATTTTTGATCGACCAGACATCGAACCTTTAATAATCAACTTTGAGAGTGATGAAGATTCAGATTCAGACAGCGCTGAAGAAAGAAACTCCGACTAACTTTATTGTACAGAAAAAGCTTACACCAGTAGCTTACCTAATTTTAGAATGCATTTTTCTGTATGAATTCTGTAAAATAAATACCATGCATAAAATTTGGAGGACCCCATTTGGATTTTTATTCAGTACCTTTAAGCTATCAATTAAATATGGTAGTTTCATAGTGTCATCTGATCAATAATTGTCATACTTAATGATTATGCAAGTACAGATCTATAATTTTATTATACTATTATTTTTGTTCTCATTTGAGGTTAATATTGCTTATAAACCTAGATATGTAAATAATAAATTTTATTATTTTACAAAAAGTTTGGCAAGAATGTAAATTTTTCAACACACCCACCTTGATGACGTGCACGCCACTTTGTTTGGCGTTGACTATACATATTATATTAAATAATTTCTTCTGAAAAATAACTTATATGGAGTTAAATGATTATTAGCAATGGGGATTGTTAAAAAGCCAGTGGTTTAATATATTTTAATTTTTTTATCCATATGTATTATTAGTATATTGCTTATTCGATTAATAAAATATCATCACATGTAAAAAGTAACTCAATTCAAGATGTAATTAAAACTTCCACACTGTCTCTTTCTCTTTCTGTGATGTGATACTTTATACACTTTATACCATATATTTATGTGAACTTTAATATTTCAGTGGTAGGAAAACACTGAAATCACTCCCAAAATGTTTTGGAAAAAAGGGTAATGTAGAAGTTTGGAGGTTCAGTATCAAAAAACTTCTATCAACCTAAACCATTTCCAAAAACGTTGTCATATGACATTCCATCCTTACTCTTAGTCAAATACACCAACTTTTAGCATTAAGGTACCTATGTATTGAAAAAACATCTGAAATTTGCAGAATTCAATGGCTACTAGACCAGTTCCCAAAACCTTGACAAAAATGAAGAAACCATATCTCATTTGTTTTTTACATTTTTGTATTGGAAAAATTATTGTATGATTAATTCTAGTGTAGGCACACAGAACTATTTCGGCGTTTCAACGAAAAAATAAACGTTAATAAACTAACGTTGATGCCTCACAAAAGACAAAATTACGTGCTAATGGGATGCATGAGACTTGTTTACAGAAACCTAACCTATACGCTGTCTCGCTCGACAAAAGTGTTAATAAGTTGAAGGGCAAATTGTTTAACACCTCCGCAGTTCTCGCCTGTACAACTGCACGAATAATCGCTAAACTTTTGATCTGCTCGAAAGAGAAAACGAATGAATGATGAAAGAATACTTACATTCTTCTCAGAGATAATCCAGATCCATTCCGAGAGTATTCTTTGATTTCTCACCTTTCGTGGACCATGATTCGGGAGCGATGAGCAAGGTTAACCGAACAAAAATCTCACGCAAATCGAAAATTTTTCAAAACGCCGGTATATCAGTTTATTTGGCTGCTGTCACATCACACGGTTCCGCGCCGACCTACCTGTGATTGATATTCAAGAAATTATTTCCGACTGTTTACATGTCACCGCTACAGTAACAAATGAGTTTCCGTCTAGACAACAAGACGTATGTCAATATTCGTCAAAATCAAAATGGCTACGCCTTTAATCGTCAAGCAGAGACGTCCGTCTCTATCGCGCTCTCGTACAGTCACAGCGGTCGCGCGCAGCAGTATTCTTCGGACGTATGTCGATGATGAATCTTGCTTGAACACGCCCAATGCTTAAATAAGGGAATGTTAATTCGAATTTTAGCGGGATTCAGCTCACAAAAAGGCTTCGTTTATCGAAACACCATGAAAATACCATAATTTTATAAAGTTTCAAAGCCGGCTTATCGTTTGTTCCTGCAAATATTATCAGAGAAAAAATATAAAAGGAGCATGCGCCCCTATCATTTTTCGTTTTTTTTTCCACCAAGTTATCGATGACTCTGCGACGGATTAAATATAGTTCAAGCACATCTGCTAGATGATATGCCTTGATCTTTTAAATATCTTTCAGATAGTGGCAGACTGAAATTAATTAGATTCAGTCAAAATTTTCCTAGAAGATTAGGGAAGCTCCGCCTACTACCCCCTTTCAATTTATTTCAGATATATTGATCACTTCGCCATCTATCAGGCCTTGTTCTAACCAAAGCTGATCGGAAAGTTTGTCGGTAAAAAATTCTATAACGCTGCTCTTTACCGCACTTGCGCAGTTAATATTATATCCGGGAGATGGCGAAAAGCAAGGAAGAAAATTCAGTCAAGTAGATTGACTACCCCTACGTCTCCCTGCCATAGACCATCTTCATATGACGTCACTGCCCAACCTGATATCGGTTGGAGGACAAACACATTAAATCATTGGTGTATACTAGAGTCGAAAATATGATGTTACAGTTATTTAATAAATTTAGTTATTTCTGGAGAACTATTTTTTTGCGCGGGCGTGAATTACTTATTTAATGATTCAATTCTCCACCACGTAAGGGCGGATTTAGGAATTGAAGAGCGGGAGGGAAGGGAGGGTGTTGGCGGCTCTATGCTTAAGCACTTGCACAGCAAATGCGTTTGTGACAATATTAGAGAGCAGTGGAAGGGATACGCGTAGAAAGGATGGATAACAATTTCCAATAGATTCCCGAGTATTTACACGTATTTCAAAGTAGGTTATTTCTAAGAATATCTCGCGATCTGAGTGATCTGTGGAGGTATACGACGTACATGTTACAATATGGACAAAACGGGATTTACGAAAATCAGGAGCGGATCTAGGGTGGTCTCCTGAAGGTCCCAACACTTTCTCTAAAACATCAAAGTTTTAAAAAATCGAACACGTTTTTCAATTCGCGCAGTGTCTCCCACCACATTGTCTAGATTCGAAAATGCTTCGAAAAATATCATTTTCTAGCCCACTCCCGAAATAAAGTAAAGATTGATAGCCCAACTTGCATCTTGTATATATTTTAAGATCAATCTCAAAAACATAAAAAACCTGATAACAGTAAATAGCACATGAAGGAACATCAAAGGTCATTTTTCCTCTTCTTTATCCAGAGTGACTACTTCTTAAGTTACGCTGTACATTATGCTTGGTTGGATGTTCTGTTATTTCTGTCATCAAAAACTATAACCATCTATTTATTATTTTGTTCTTTGGGTAATACAGACATAGATATAGTGATTCCATAAACTACGAATCGATTTCCACTTTCAACTGTTTTCGCATTATTTTATCATTTGATGTCTCGCTGTTGTTAGAAGACAGGAATAGTAGACAAGGTAACCTGTAAAAAGAATACATTTGATTATGTAAGAAGTTGGAAGATGAAAAAGTAAAGCTGGTGGTTGAAGTATGACGTACAAAAATTAATAAAAAGGATCTCACTCATATCGTTCAAAGTATACTACGTGACATATAAATCCGAACACCCAGTTTAAATGGTTCTGTTTTAATAAAAGTTGGTGAATGTATTTATCTTACTGTAAATAACAAGTGAAAAAATTTTCAGCCTTATCAATTGGACATTCCGGTTTTTATACTGCTTTTTTTTAATTCACTAACGCTCTAAAAATGAATATTTCAGCCGCAGTAAAGAATCAACGTTGGCGGATTTTGGTTCTTGACATCCTTTACGATCGGTTACGATGCCTAGAATACGGAGACCTGTACCATTTCATCAACTTAGTGAGTTTGATAGGGGCCGTATAGTGGGACTTCGGGAAGCTGGACTTTCTTTTCGGGCAATTGCAGTTAGAGTGCAAAGAAGTGTAGACACTGTGGTTAGGTGTTGTCAGGCATGGCTTCGAGAAGGCCGTACGCAAAGAGCAAGGGGCACTGCACGCCGCCGTAGAACAACAGACCGTGAAGATCGCCGCCTAAGATTATTGGCCTTAAGGAACCGTTTCTCCACTACCAGGTCCGGTGCAAATGAATGGTTTGCAGAACACGGAAGACCTATTGGCATGCGAAGTGTTTACCGACGAATGAGAAGTTTTGGCTTGTTTTCATACCGGCCACACTGGGTCCTCCCTTTAACTCGAGAACACCGACGTAATCGCCTTGAGTGGTGCAGACAACGGTCACTCTGGGATCAGGAATGGAACAGTATTGTCTTTAGTGATGCGTCTCGATTTTGTTTAGGCATGCACGATGGTCGTGCTAGGGTTAGAGGGCGACGTGGTGAAAGGAGGAATCCACAGATTTTTGTTGAAAGACATGTTCATCACACTGTTGGAGTTATGGTTTGGGGTGCTATAGCTTATGGTTCCAGGTCACCTTTAATCTTCATCAGAGGTAACATGAACGCGCAGCGTTATATCCACGAAGTTCTAGAACCCCATCTTTTACCCTATCTTGACACCCTGGCAGATCCAACTTTCCAACAAGATAATGCCCGACCACATGTTGCAAGAGTCACAATAGACTTCTTTCAACATAATGATGTCACATTGTTACCCTGGCCACCAAGATCTCCCGACTTATCCCCAATTGAGCACGTGTGGGATATGATGGGTAGGAGATTGCTCAATTTGCAACGTCCTCCTCAGACTCTAGAAGCACTTCGAGAGGAGTTGGTGGTTGCCTGGAATGAGATACCACAGGAGGACATTGACCACCCGATCAGAAGCATGCCTAGGCGCGTTGGAGAATGCGTAGCACATTAGGGTGCATCCACACATTATTAAAGGTCAAAGGGCTTTAAAGCAGTGCAATCATTTTGAAATTTTTATCATTTACTTATTATGCTTCATTAAGTACTTATACAAAATTTTATTAAAATAAAACCATTTAAACTGGGTGTACGGATTTATATGTCACTTAGTATGCTATTAGATTGAATGTCAGCTTCACTTTAACTTCCAGAGGGCAATTGGTACTTATATAATATGAAAAATATCGCCCTAAATAGTGACATTAAAAAAACTGGACCTAGCAGATTGATGAAAGATGAGCGTGCCTATTAAAATAAGTACACAGTAAGATTCCATATAGTGCAGCAAAAGAAAAAAGAGCCAGTCCGTATTCGAACTGCAACGCCTAATGTCTCGGAAAGATTGCTTCTTACGTATTATTGTATTGCAACGAAAACACCGTTTTAACTATTTAAAGTCCAACTTATTACTCTTACACTGATTTATAACAACACTCGTGCCTAATTCATGACAAAATAACCATGTCGAATGGGTTACAGCATCTTGACTCATCGGTCGCTGTACTGCTTCCTCCATCTGTTCGGGTATTTATCTTCAATCGATGCATTCCAGAAGCGCGATCCGCGTCTTCTCGATCGAAGTCGACCCTTCGTGGAGGCCGTCTAGATGGCCTTGAAGCGTCATGAATGCGAACGCGCTCCATACACGGTCGCGTAGTTTTGGTTGCCTAAGCCACGATATTGCGACGGGGCTGATCGATACCACAAAGTTTAGCTTACGAGGGCGCTTCATTATGTTTTCGAGAGCAGCAATAAAAGAAACAGAATGCTCTCCGGAGCGTAAAAAACTACGCCAAAATTACCCCTTGACGTTCATTCATCTATTATGTGCTGCAACTGCAGCAAATATGTTTAACACGATAGATTAGAGATTTTAGTTTCATAGTATATAGCAAATACACATCAAAACGACAAATGATCGTATGATATGACGAATTGATTTCCTTTATGTATTGCATTTATCATATAACTTGATTTAGATGCTGATTTCATTACCTCTTTATTATACCATGACGAACCACTTCCGAATTTTCGGCAACATTTTTAGATATATCTTTTCAAAGTAAGCCATGAAGTGACTAGAAATTATCTAGTATCTAGTAGATTACATAGATGAATAGTGTTTCCATGTTAAGATAACACGTTTGAAAAATTATGTGTGATTCACATGAGCTTGACAATTATTATTAACTACCATTACAAACAACGATATAAAAATTTTATTATGCTACAGATCATAAATATCAGCATCAACGTAAACGTTTTGCGAAATGCAATGATGTCTGAATTTCCTGGAAACTTCAGGTTTTTTTTGAATAAGTGACAATACTGACAACGCTGTCGGGTTAGGAAGTTGTTCAAACAACGGAATTTTCGCAATTTTTCGAATCTCGTTAGAAATGTCGACATTTCTACTGTTTGGGATGAGAAATCATGAACTCCTTTTACATCATACCTAGATATTTAACTTGCGAAATGATTCAGTCAGATCTAGATCCCCACATAAGTTAGTAGATAGTAGAATAGTAGAATAAATGAAAAAGAAAGAAATAAGTTAACTGGTACAAAAATCAGTTCGAAGATTTGTCTCGCATGTACATACTAACACACTAAACAATATGTCAAGTTACAAGGTCTATCGCAAAGTAAACAAGACTTTTGAACAATATCCGATACAAGTAGCGCCATCTCTTATCGGAGACTAGTGTTGGATAGGTATACTTTATCTGAAGTCACTTGAAATAGCATAAAAACCTTTGGTCGGCGCGTCCTTTGTAATTTCATGACGTATCATAGGCGTGCGGTCATTTATTTAGAACGATAATAATAATGTTTTTATATCACAATAAATGGATTTTACTATATTCTTATTTT